ACGTGCACTCATGCCCATGCCATGTGCCAGTTTAATGCTTGAGGCGTCTCAAAAAACGACTGGGACGCCTTGAGACCCCTGTTGTTTCTTGGCCGCCCCCCCCCTCCCCTCCCCCCTCCCCGTTTCTTGCCCCTTCCTCAATTCCCCCCTCCCCGCCCTCTTTCTTACTCGCCCTCACCAGGAGTTTATGTGTCTGCCAACCAATTTACAGAGGATGAGTTCTCGTGTTTCGGGTCCTCCATATAGTGAGTTGAGAGAAGTTAGTGTTAACGAGTCATGGTTCCAAAGGAAATGCATTCACAGGTCTGGGGAATGCATAGCTCATAACACCATCCTTGCAACCACGACTTGCAGCTCTGGTGCCATCCTCTCCCATCAATCTCTGAACTTCCCCCCCCTCCTCTCCCACCATTCTCTAACATCTCCCCCATCCCCTCTCATGAATCTCTTAACTCCTCCTCACCCTCCTTGCTCACTCCTCCCTTCTTCTCCCCCCCACCTCCCCCCCTACCAGTGCAATCTCCAAGGCCCAGCTTCAAACCCCTCAGAACACAACCATTCTTCGCTTCGCCGTGCCACAATCACTGGCCCTCAGCAACCCAGCATTAACCATCTACCCTCAGAAGGTCGCAGCCGATGGGGACTACGACTATCGCCACGGCGGCACCATGTATTTCGGCTGGACGGGATTCAACCCCAACCGACCTTCCCCACAGGAATTCTTTGTTGTATACAACTTCACCACAGTGGGAGCCTTTGCTATAACGGGTACAAGTGCTCTGGGGACCCCTGAAGCCGAGAGTATGGTGAAGCCACACTGTGCCGCCGTCAGCACTCCCCCGTACTTCAAAATAAATGATGTTCAGCAAAAGAACGGACCCGTGCCAATCGCTTGGAGACTCAACACCACCATCCGTGCTATCAGCCCTACAGCTTCTACCGTCCGTGCAGTTGTGGTGTTTCCGGAGAGCAGGCAGATGTGGCTGTCGTTTATGTCGGCCTTTGGCAAGGACATGATTGCCTCTGCCGTGGTGGCCAGGCTTCGCTTGTCTCTGAGGCTCAAGCGCAAGTGGAGGCCGTTTCGGGTGTTTCTGGAGCGGTTCAAAGTGGTGGGGGTGGGCGGAGGGAACAGCCTCATTCAGCCCACGATCTCTCTCAACAGTTGGGAGAGAGGGGAGGAGGGGGTGGATGGAAAAAGGGGGAGGGTGTGGGGGTAGACAGCAAAAGGAGGAGGGTGTGGGGGTAGACAGCAAAAGGGGGAGGGTGTGGGGGTAGACAGCAAAAGGGGGAGGGTGTGGGGGTAGACAGCAAAAGGGGGAGGGTGTGGGGGTAGACAGCAAAAGGGGGAGGGTGTGGGGGTAGACAGCAAAAGTGGGAGGGTGTGGGGGTGGAAGTGCAAGGGTTGAAAGAGGGATTTGATGGCAATGGGAGAGGAGAATTTACCCTTTTAGGTTGATTCTTTATGCGTGTCCCCCTCACAGGATGATATGCACGAGCACTGGACATGCGGCATGCTGAATTCTGCTCAAGTGCACACTTTTAATTTTAAGCACAGCAAGAGATTCACAGCAGCGTTTTGCCCATCTTCATTTCCACCAACTCACACGCCCTCCCGCCATCCACTCACGCCCCTATCCACGCATGGTAAGGCCATCACATTACACCCCATCTCCTTCCCTTCACTCACCTGTCTTTCCCTCTCTCCCTTTGCCCTTCCCAGGCAAGGCAAGGGCATCATAGCAGCATCGCTGGCAGGGCGTTCCTTCTACCCCTCAGCTGCCTATGCCACTCTCAACGCCAATGTGGATGTTGGCCGCATCAACGTTGTTGGCCCGGGGAAAGCGCCTCTTGACGACTACTCTGGTGAGTCGCCATAGTGCTGCTCATTGCTCCGCTGCTCAGCATGTTAGCGCCTGAAACCAGATCCTGCTGGCCTTGCTGGCCCTGCTTGGCATGCTAAGGCTCGTCATCATGCCTGCTATGGCCCTGCTGGCCTTGCTGGCCCTGCTAAGGCTCCTCATCACGCCTGCTCTGGTATTTCCCTCCCAAACACTGCTCAGGTTACTACTGGTAGTAATTGTCTCCTCTCCGTATGAAATCCGCGTGCATTGAGGACTTTTTGGAGGCACCTCAAAATACACTCAATGCTGGCCCTGAAAATTCTCCTCTGCATGAGTGCTCTGTTTTTGTCCGTCCGCGTGATGTGATGTGATGTGATGTGATGTGATGTGAGTGAGACGCCCTTTGAGTCGACTCGACTCAGAAATCGTCTCAGATTCTGCTGGCTCAGAGAAGGCCCCTCTGCATGTCTGCTCTGCTAGTGTCTGTCCGCGTGAAAATCGTCCTTTCAGACAATTTTTGGGAGATGTGATGTGAGTGAGACGCCCTTTGAGTCGAGTCGACTAAAAAATCGTTAACAGATTCTGCCGGCCCAGAAAAGGCTCCTCTGCTTGTCTGCTCTGGTCGTTTCCTCCTAAAAGGCTGCTCTGGTCGTTTCCTCCTAAAAGGCTGCTCTGGTGACTGCTATGGAGAGCCTCTTTTCTGGTGGCTCAATCTCAACTTTGCTCCCTCACAAGTATTACAAACGATCTTACAAACTCCCTTGCCCACCCCTAACCCGTTTGCCCTCCTGTCAACCCCCGTCCCTCCTTTCCGCCCCTCTTTTCCTGCAAACCCCCACCCGTCTCCCCCCCTTCCAGGATACTTGACTGAGGGGATGCGCTACGGCGAGTACATGACGGCGACTACACAACTGCTGCACTTGAGTCGAATCTAAGGCACTTCTTGTCAATCTCTCCTCGCGTGCATACCCCCACCCCAGTCTCTCTCTCCTCCTTTCAGGGTACTTGACTGAGGGGATGCGCTACGGCGAGTACATGACGGCGACTACACAACGGCTACGCGTGAGTCGAATATAAGGCCATCCTTGTCTCCCCCACCCCCGTTTCCCCCCCTGCAAACCCCCACCTGTCTCCCCCCCTTCCCAGGTACTTGAGTGAGGGAATGCGATGCGGCGACTACACGTCGGTTACGCGTGGGGCGAATCTACATGCAGGCCATCCCTGTCTCCGAAACCGAGGATAATGAAGTCCTTTATGTTGCAGGGATTTGTTGAGATTTCTCAAAAAGATCCTTGCAACATGAGGGGATGCGATGCGGCGACTACGTGATGCCGATGCTTGAGTCGAATCTAAGGCCATCTTTGTCTCCCCCACCCTCCTCCCCCTTTCCAGCGTACGAGACTGGGAGGATGCGGTACGGCGACTACATGACGGCGACGGTGGACGAGGAGGGCAACGCGTGGGCGGCAGTGCAGTATGTGGCGGGGCAGCCGCGCACCGAGTGGAGCAACTGGGCTACCTTCGTGTTCAAAGTCGACCTGCAGGGGGGGGAGGGGAACGGGGGGAACGGGGGGAGTGGGAATTATGGGGGGAGTCGGGATAATGGGGGGGGTGAGGGGGATGGGGAGAACGGGAAGAATTAAAGGAACAGTGGGAAAGTGAATAATGAAGGGGAAGGGGGATGGAGGGGAGGAGGGAGACAGGGGAGCTTGTGAACAGTGATGGTAGTGATGGGGATGTGCGGGCTTGTGGGGGAGGAGGGGTGGGGAATAGCAGCAGGGATAATGAGGGTGGGAAGGGGAATTTAGGGTGGGTATAGCAGCAGGGTTGGCTAGGGGGGTGGTGCATAAGTATGGAGTGGAAGCTGCAGCGGCAGTGGAGACAGTTCCAGCAGCAGCCGCAGGAGCAATAGCAGGAGTGGCACTGGTTATTGTGAAAACAACACCAGTAGATGCAAGGATGGCAATGGTGGTAGTGGCTGAATGGGAGATAGCATAGGGAGGCATCTTGGCAGTCATGTGCTGCTACCTCAGCAGCACAGACTTTTTTTTGTGCAGCTCTTGCATATTAACGCATCACCTATCCTGTTAGCATTTCCGCATGGTGCTCGAACTGATGAGCATTAATTATCTAGGGAAGTCACCACTGCGTAGCTTCATGCACTAGATTGCCTGCAGTGGAATAAGTGCAGCTGATTTTTAATATTGAGTACCATATAAATGCGCACTGCTAGGGCGCATGCGCTTTGAATAAAGCTCTAGCATGGCACAAGAAATGTTTAAATCATGTGCCAACTTCAGTTGGCTAATGGATTACTATCATAATGCCATGAGGGAATGTTGTTGATGCCTTTCTCTATCTAGGAAGTATGATATCGTGTAGTCTATCTAGATAGATGCATGGGCGCGCTGTTGCGGGGACGCCCAAGTCGTCGCCTTTCTCATGCAACCTTGTCGAGCCGCATGGCGGCGGCGCATGGCGCGGGGCGGGACAAGGACATGGGCTTGCCCATGTACTGCACACATACATTGCCACTACGGGAGCTAGGGTGGTTGAAAATTTGGCTGAAGTGAATGTTGAGGAGAAGTGGTTTTGAGCGCTTGACAGCTCATTAGTCTAGTCAGCTGGCAACATCCCCTTCTGATAAACTTCAGGTTGGTTTTGATTGGCTGGAATCCCCGATCGGCTGCGCACAGTGGCTGTGACAAATTCAGTGCAAAGACGTGGCACCTGTTCTGGCACTGAAGGATTTGACGGAGGAATGGATAGTCACCAGAATGCCGCCATTTTTTTAGATGTCTGAAAACTGAATTTTGACGGAGGAATGGATCCGTCAGACTGCCGCCTTTTCCAAACTGTAGCGCGCAGCCGCTTTTCCACATGTGGAGATCCAAGAGGCGGACGCAGGCACTGCACTGATTTTAGTGAACAGCCATTCGGTTTGATCAGAGCTAGTCGATGCTTCAGCTCCCCTATTTCATAGTCGATGCTCCAAGGCCTATCAAGGTGCACTCTGCTTCCGGCGCAATGGCTCCTCCTCCGCATGCCTCCCCGCGCCTCTGCTGCTACCGTCACGCCGCTCTGCTGCTCGCGCTTCTACTGCCGCTGCTAGCTCCGCCGCGGGGAACGAATGCGGCGACGCGCGTCGTGATTGCGCCGATGCGCGGATCGAAGGACCGCGTGGAGGTGTTCAAGCTGTCGGAGAACCTCTGGTTCGCTGGAACCGCGCAGCTTCCGCCGATCGAAGACGCTGTTAGTAGTAACGGCCCGCTCCCTCCACCGGGTGGAGACTCCGCTTCCGCGGGAGGCGGCGGGAACAGCGGCGGAGATAGCAGCGGAAACCACAGCACCACCGCCGGCGATTCCCGCGCGTCATATGCGGCGGACGACCCGCGCGACAGGGAGGCGCGGAAGGAGGAGCTGCTTGGGCGGATTCGCGGCGGCGGACTCGACGAGAAGACGCGCGAGGCCTTGGCGGAAGCAGCAAGCTCCGCGGCGGCCGCCGCTGCATCTGCGCCCGCCGCTGCGCCTGCGAGCGCGCCGGCTCCCGCTGTGGATCCGCTCGGGCAACAGATGGTAGGCTCGCGCGACTGAGCCTGTGCGACTGAGCCTGTGCGATTCACTGACTGTTCTAGCGGGGAATCCCCGAGCCCTTTGCGCCCTCCCCCCCGGCGGGATTCCCCCCAGCGCATGCAGGCCTTGTGCGGCACCCAGTTCAGAGGTCAACCGCTGGAACGGTCAACCGAGTCGCGCAGTAACGGTCAACCGAGTCGCGCAGTAACGGTCAACCGAGTCGCACAGTAACGGTCAACCACTACAGTAGAAGAGGCTTCCTAAGGCTCGTGCAATGTGCAACCCGCTTCTGCAATGGAGGAAATCCCTGTGTTTTTGGGGTTCCCGCTCTTTCCCACAAACAGGAGGAGCGATTGGCGGAGGTGGGGGAATTCTCGGCGCGCATGACGGAGCTGAAACAAGTGGTGAAGCGGAAACCGGCGGTTGGGTTTCCCGGTATAAGCCAGTACAGCCTAGTGAACAGTGGTACACCGCCTAAATACAACGATACAGTGGTAAGAAACATGTGTTATTTCACGGTGCGGATTTGTGCATTTGTGCGGATTTTTGCAGCATCTTGATCACTAAAGTTATGTTTCTTGTTCCGTTTTAGGTCCGTGTAACCCCTCCTGACGTCGCTCTGTGTGTGGGCAACGGATACATCCTTCACACTGTCAACATTGGTAAGCGGCGTTCCTTGCCCTTGCTTCTTCTCTGTCCCCAACTGCTTCACCTTCTTTCTCCATCTCTCCTCTCACGCAATTCCTTTTAAGCAATTTCTCTACCGTCCCACCGATTCCTCTCCTCCACTTCTCCCCCCTGGCAGCAATGGCTGTGTACGACAAGCAAGGGAAGCAGCTCACTCGCATCATCACAACCAACGAGGCAAGTGCACACGCAGCGAGTCAAGTGCACACGCAGCGAGGCAAGTGCACACGCAGCGAGGCAAGTGCACACGCAGCGAGGCAAGTGCACACGCAGCGAGGCAAGTGCGCACGCAGCGAGGCAAGTGCGCACACCCAATCATGATCGCTCTGCCCTCTCCTCCCCAGCCCCACACCTCCCTCCACGCCTTCCTCTCACTTCGCCAGCGTGCTGCCATTGGTGGTTCTTTGCCCAACCAGCACCAACACCAGCCCACCTTCCGCCCATCTTCCGCCCACCTTCCGCCCACCTTCCGCCCACCTTCCGCCCACCTTCCGCCCACCTTCTGCCCACCTTCCGCCCACCTTCCCCAACCCTCATTCCATTCCGCCCACCTTCCGCCCACCAGTTCTTTGGCATGCTGCCATGGGTGGTGGAGAAGAGGGACCCGTTCAAAGAATCAGTATTCGGAGACAACATCGGTGACATGACATGCACGTATGACCGCCAGTCCCGGCGCTTCTACCTCTCCACCTACTGGAGTGTGAGTGCCGAACCTGCGCCGAGCCATTGTTGACTTTTTAGGCGCCTTTGTTGACTTTTTAGGCGCCATTGTTGACTTTACAAAAGTTGCTTCCCTCGCCACCTGTTGTTGGATTCAGCCTGCGAAGCCATTTCTCTCGAACACCTCCCTCCCGCAATCCCACTATCCCCCTTCTTTTGCCCTCTCGTTTTCCTACCTCTTGTTTCCTCCTCTTGTCTTCCTCTCCATATTTCCACCCTCTCGTTTTCTTCCTTCTTGACTCCTTCCTCTCGTTTTTTCCCTCGTGTCTCGCTTCCCTTCCTTCCCATTCCCATCTCTCCCAACGTTCAGTCAGGGGGTGGCAACAACACGTATGACAAGTTTGGGCAGACGAGGAGGAGGGGCGACGTGACAGTTGGCGCAGGGATGATAGTGGCAGCGTCAACCACGGACGACCCCACACAGCCCTGGAACGTCTTCTTCATTCCTGGCTCGTTCGTTCGCCTCCTTTTTGTTCTCAGCCTTTTCCCTCACCTTTCCTCACCTCACCCTTTCTCTCCATTTTGCAACGGAGTTTCGGTCGCACCCTTTTTCTCACATTTTCTCACTTCTCACCCTTTCTCACGTTCATCCGCTGCTCTCCACATGCCTCTTCCTGCAACAGCAGCCCCATTCCAGACTGTTTATATCCCTGCTCTGTCCTTCTCACCTAGTTCCTCAAATTCTCCTCTTCTCTTACTTTCCATCTCCCTCTTTCTCCTCTCTGTTTCCTCCCTCTCCCCACCTCCTCACCCCACACCCCCCCCTCCCAGCAACGATGGCATCAACTCCAATCCGGACTGGAGGGCGCCTCTCCACTCCCAGGGTTTAGGCACACTGTTCCTCCCTCAACCCCCCTCCGCCCTTTCCCCCCGCCTCAAACCCCCCTCCCAGAAACGATGGCATCAACTCCAATCCGGATTGGAGGGCGCCTCTCCACTTTCAAGGTCAAGGGAAAACTGTTTCCTCCCTCAAACCCCCCTCCGTCCTTCCCCCCCTCCGTCCGTCCCTTACTCCTCTCCCCCCTCTCGCAGCAACGATGGCATCAACTCCAATCCGGACTGGAGGGCGCCTCTCCACTTCAACTCGTCTCGACTCACCACGTTCTGTAAGTTGAATCATGGCATGGCATGGCATGGGGTGCTGCCTTGTGTAATGAGTCGAGTTTTGAGTCGACTAAAAACTCGTTCTGTATGGTGAATCATGGCATGGCATGGGGTGCTGCCTTGGATGCGTGTGAAGGTGGGGTGATGGGATGCGTGATGGACATGTGAAGGTGGTGATGGGATGGGTGATGGACGTGTGATGGTTGGGTGATGGTGCGCAAGAGCTAACGATAGTATATTTATATACAGATTTATATTTATATACAAATATATATTTATATGCAGATATGTATTTATATACATTATCATGCACGTCAACGATCCTCTTCCGCGTCTTTCTCATTTCCGATGTGCAATTGGCCTCTGCTAATTCATCCCTTGCTTTACCGTCCAGACCCCCCCCACTCCTTTCGTTTTCCCTCTTGCTGTCACGTCACCTGCCCCCCCATCCCTCTTCGATCTTGCCCTTCTCCCCTTCGGATGGTCCTTCACTAAATTAGCAACGGAGTTACATCGTGCCCTTCTCCCCTTCTCTACCGTTTGCTTTCCTTCCCCCCATCAGTGGACTACCCTCAGATCGGCACAGATGCCTATGGTATGTGTGTTGGGAATAAGCAGCAATCATGTGCCTATGGTATGTGTGGTAGAGAAAAGCAGCAATCATGTGCCTATGGTATGTGTGGTAGAGAAAAGCAGCAATCATGTGCCTATGGTATGTGTGGTAGAGAAAAGCAGCAATCATGTGCCTATGGTATGTGTGTTGGGAAAAAGCAGCAATCATGTGTTCAAAGCATGTTCCTATCGTATGCCCAAATCAAGTCAGGGGGTGCGAGCATTGTCATGTGCCTATCGGCTGTACTTCAACTTTTCTGCTCAAATCATCTCTCGCTCTCGATTACAGCCCATTGTAGAGAGGGTGTTTGTGAGACGTCTCAATTGATTTCTCTCGATTACAGCCCATTGTAGAGAGGGTGTTTGTGAGACGTCTCAATTGATTTCTCTCGATTACAGCCCATTGTAGAGAGGGTGTTTGTGAGACGTCTCAATTGATTTCTCTCGATTACAGCCCATTGTAGAGAGGGTGTTTGTGAGACGTCTCAATTGATTTCTCTCGATTACAGCCCATTGTAGAGAGGGTGTTTGTGAGACGTCTCAATTGATTTCTCTCGATTACAGCCCATTGTAGAGAGGGTGTTTGTGAGACGTCTCAATTGATTTCTCTCGATTACAGCCCATTGTAGAGAGGGTGTTGTTGAGACGTCTCAATTGATTTCTCTCGATTACAGCCCATTGTAGAGAGGGTGTTTGTGAGACGTCTCAAAAACACCCTTTCTGCTCAAATCATCTCTCGCTCCCGATTACAGCCCATTGATTTCCTGTATGGGCCTTCCCCACTGCCTGCACCCGCCGTCCCCCCTCACCAGGATTTTACGTGTCGGTAAACCAATATTCGGAGTCATTGGAGCAAGTATATGGGGCGGGCATATAGTGAGTATATGGGGCGGGCATATAGTGAGTATATGGGGCGGGCATCTAGTGAGTGTCTTGGCACTTCATCACGCACCTCAAACACAGCAAGTATCTGCAAGCGACATATGCAATCTTTTCCCTTTGCTTACGCATTTCCTTCTGCATTATTCATGCGTACATAACACTTCCAGGTTCCAACCATGCCGGACTCATGCATCCATGCATACCCACATGCAAACCCCCATCCATGCATCCATGCATACCCACATGCAAACCCGCATCCATGCATACCCACATGCAAACCCGCATCCATGCATACCCACATGCAAACCCGCATCCATGCATACCCACATGCAAACCTGCATCCATGCATCCATGCATACCCACATGTGTAAGCTCTAGTGACAATCTCTCCCATCAATTCCACTTCTTACCACCCCATCACAATCCTCCCCATCCTCTTATTCCCCCTCTCCCCCCACATCATCTCCTTCTTCTTCCATTCCTGCTCCTCACCTCCCTCCTCCTCTGCCTTCCCTCCCGCCAACCTCCTTCCCAACCAGTGCAGCCGCCAAGCCCCAGCTTCAAATTCCAGAGAATGCACGTGAATATGCCTCCTCCTCCCCTGCTCCTTCCCTCCCCCTCCTCCCCTGATCCTCCCCTCCCCTGCTCCTCCCCTCCCCCGCCTCCCCAACCAGTGCAATCGCCAAGTCCCAGCTCCAAGCACCCGAGAATGCCACCATTCTCCGCTTCGTCGTGCCTTACACTGCGAGCGTTCTCAGTCCATCCTACACCATCTACCCTCAGAAGGTCGCTGCCGATGGGGACTACGACTACCGCCACGGCGGCACCATGTATTTCGGATGGACGGGAGTTAACCCCAACCGTGGTGCTCCAAACGAAACCGTGCTTATCACCAACTTCACCACAGTGGGAGCCTTTGCTATAACGGGTACAAGCGCTCTGGGAACCCCTGAAGCCGAGCGCTTGGTCGAACCCCACTGTGCGGCCGTCAACACTCCGCCGTTCTTCATTCCCCGGCCTGTGGAGCAGAAGCCCGGGCCTGTTCCTACAGCTTGGCAGATGAACAGTACGATCAAGCCCATCGGCCCTTCAGAGATCGATGCGAGAGGCGTGGTGGTGAATCCGGAGAGCAGGCGCATGTGGGTCAGCTTTATGTCGGCGTTTGGCAAGGACATGAGTGCTGCTGCCGTGGTGGTGAGGCTTCGCCTGTCCCTCCGGCCTCAGCGCAAGTGGCGCACGCTTCGGGTGTTTTTGGAGCGGTTCAAAGTGGTGGGGGTGGGCGGAGGGAACAGCCTCATTCAGGGCACCATCGCCCTCAACAGGTGAGAGAAAAGAGGGAGGCTTGCTCTTTCCCTCTTTTCTTTCTGTTGGAAACCCCTCTACACTCTGTTGGAGAAAAAAGAGACAAATTTCCAACCCCCCCCTGGAAGGCATCTCTCAAACCCCATCTCCTTCCCTCACTTCTCACACCCTTTGCCATCCCCTCATTCCCCTCCCTCCCGTTTCCCGGCGTGGGCATGATAGTAGCACCAAACCCGCCTTCTTTCTCTCTTGCCCAATCCCGCACTCCCCTGGCGCAGCCAAGGCAAGGGCATCATAGCAGCATCAACCCGTCTTCTTTCTCTCTTGCCATCCCCCCCCCCCCCCTCCACCCCTTGGCAAGGGCATAATAACAGCTTCAAACCCGTCTTCTTTCTCTCTTGCCATCCCCCCCCCCCCCCCTCCACCCCTCAAGCTTGGCAAGGGCATAATAACAGCTTCAAACCCGTCTTCTTTCTCTCTTGCCATCCCCTCACGCCCCCCCCAGGCACGGCGTGGGCATCATAGCAGCATCGCTGGCAGGGCGTTCCTTCTACCCCTCAGCTGCCTATGCCACTCTCAACGCCAATGTGGATGTCGGCCGCGTCGTCATTGCCGGCCCGGGGAAAGCGCCTCTCGACGACTATACGGGTGAGTTTGTTATTATGCGTGCTCTGCTGCTTGCTGGTACTCGTTTGTTGCCAGTTGGGATCTAGCTGCCTTTTGCCTGTTGGGCAAGAAAAGGCAGTTCGAAGGCAGCCAACGCAGGTGAGGGAGAGCCCACGTGGGTGAGGGAGAGCCCACGTGGACTGTATGTACGCTTTACAGCATGCGAGAAAGGGGCTCCCACCCCTCTCTCCTCCCGTGCAGTGCACGCAGCACACCCCCCACTTCCCTGCTCACGGTATTTGAACGGTGCAACGGAGCATCGGTATGACCAATGGCCTCTCCCCCCCTCTCCCCCTTTTTCCTACTCCCACACGCACCTCCACCCTCCTCTCTCCCCTTCAGGGTACCGCGTTGGTGCAACGGAGATGCGATATGGTGACTACATGACGGCAACGGTGGACGAGGAGGGCAACGCGTGGGCGGCAGTGCAGTATGTGGCGGGGCAGCCGCGCACCGAGTGGAGCAACTGGGCTGCCTTCGTCTTCAAAGTCGACCTGCAGGGGGGGGAAGGGGACGGGGGGGAACGGGGACGATGGGGGGAATGGGGGTAATGGGGACAACGGGGGGAATGGGGATGACGAGGGAAATGGGGACAACGGGGGGAATGGGGACAACGGGGGGAATGGGGATAACGGGGGAGATGGGGATAACAGGGGGAATGGCGGCCATGGGGGGAGTTAGGAGGCTGGTGGGAGGAGAAGGGGGGCAGGGTGTGAACGAGGAGGGCAACGCAATGGGCATCAGTGGCGGGGCACCCCAGGACTGAGAGGAGCAACTGGGGCACCTGCGTCTCCTTGCACGAGGGGGGGGACAAGGAACAAGGGGAATGGGCTTAAAGAAGGGGGTGGGGATAGCATGGGGATGGGTGTTAAGAGGGGAATAAAGTGGGAAATGGGGACATGGAAGGAGTTGGGGAGAAGGATGCATTGACAGGAGCGATGGTGCCGGTGGAAGGGAGAGAAGAATATGCGAGGACATGGAGGAATAAAGTGGGAAATGGAGAGAAGGGGGGTTGGGTGGGGGGGTGGAGTGAAGAATGCTTTGGCAGCAGCGATGGCAATGGTGGAGATGATGGCAATGGTGGGGGTGATGGTGCTGGTGGGGGAGAGAGTGGGGAGAATGCGAGGACTCGGAGGGAGGGGCGAGAAAGGGATTTTGAAGGTCACGATGAACGGAGAACGGTGGCCATGGTGACAGTGGTGGTGGCAGTGGTAGCAAGGATGGTGGTGGTGGCAGTGGTAGCAAGGATGGTGGTGGTGGCAGTGGTAGCAAGGATGGTGGTGGTGGCAGTGGTAGTGGTATCTGTTATCATGGGGTTGGCATCATGTCAGGTGTGTGTTGCTACCTCAGCAACACCGGCTGTCATCCTGCAACTCCAGCTATGACTGACAGCCCATTGCATGCCATGTCACACATTCTTATATGTCGCTACTTACCTGAAATGTGTTGATCATGAAGTGATTGTGAATTCTACTTATATGCAGTAGGGATGGGGTGGGAAGGGGGAGGGGGGAGAAGGGGGGAGGGGGAGTTACTATCAACCAATTGATAGTTTGAAGGTGAGTTAGACTTAGTTCTAACGTTTCAGACAGATAGCTGACATTCTGGTAAAGGTTTGCATATTTTAACCACCTTAGCTAGTCAGGACTGAGTGCATTGAAATAACTCATTAAAAAGGTGGTAATATGAAACATATTTGACACTTCACGCTTTAGTGACCATGTTTATTTCGTTATTCAGGACACCTCCAACGCGAATGGCCTCTGGTTTCCCATTCTCGAGCCGCACGGCGGCGGAAAAACCCGCAAGACATTGACCATCGGGACTTGTGGCTTCGCCGCACTCCTTGGGCATTTACACACGATGCCCGGTTGAGCCCCCTGACCTTGCCTTACTTTCTGGGCGTATAAGCGATTTTTGCGTTTCGCAAAGGTTTCGGCAATTCGCACCTAGCAAAAAGGGCTTATAAAAAACATTGTAACTTACCGTTGACTGTTTGACTTCGGTCTCTTCAGTCAAGCTTCGGTTTCTGTGGTTACGATTGGTTCAAATCTCTGCAACTTGCTCGAGGTGCTTGTAAGTAGGGTGCAACTTCACGGCACAAAACCCACGGGTGCAAGGTTTCCATCCGGTACAGGGCAATTTCGCGTGCAGGGAGTGAGCATCATGTGTATGTAGGCTCCTGTACCAGTGTGGGTTTTAGGAAAACACTCTCCCGACAACGGGAAAACAGTACATGGGCCGGAAATTGCTGGGAACAAAAGTCAACCAACTGGTGGGGAAACGGGACTCCTACCGACTCCTACCGCACAACTTTCATCCTGACAGACGGTGGGGCTGTGGCTCGTACAGTAGATGTTTGTCAATGCCAAACAACATCCCACAAACCTCCCCACCGAGCAATGTCCACATGCGGTTTCCTATGCGAGACGCTCATCGACGCACACTGCCCCGCCACCCTCACAAACAAATCAACAGCAAAATGGCCCCTTATGCCCCTTATGTAGAAGCATCAACGTTGTATGTTCACAGCTTCAACCATTGTTCACTTCTGCTAAGAGCCCCAGCGCAATGGCTCCTCACCAGGCCTCCCCTCGCCTCTGTTATCACGCCGCACTGCTGCTCGCGCTTTTACTGCTGCTAGCTCCGCCGCGGGGAGCGAATGCAGCGTCGCGCGTCGTGATTGCGCCGATGCGCGGATCGAACGACCGCGTGGAGGTGTTCAAGCTGTCGGAGAACCTCTGGTTCGCCGGAACCGCGCAGCTGCCGCCGTTTGAAGACGTTGGAAACGGTGGGAACAGCGAAGGAGATAACAGCGGCGGAGATAGTAACGGCGGCGGAGATAACAGCGGCGGAGATAACAGCGGCGGAGATAACAGCGGAAGCCACGGCAACAGCACCGGTTATGACAACAGCGGAGGCGATTCGAGCGCGGGGATCGCGGACGGCCCGCGCGACTCCATGGAGACGCGCAAGGAGGAGCTGCTTGCGCGGCTCCGCGGCGGCGGAATGGAAGCCGCAAACGCCGGCGGCGATCAGGGGAGCCCCGCGTCTGCGCCCGCCGCAGCCCCTGCGAGCGCGCCGGCTCCCGCTGTGGATCCGCTGGAGCAACAGATGGTAGGCTCGCGACTCGGAGGTTACGGTTCAGGGTGCGATTTTAGGACAGTATATTCATCGCGGAAAACACAAGCCAGAAAAGCAACGCAAAAGTGACACATATGCCACTTTCGAGATGCGAAAACCAAGTAGCTTTCCAGTCATGGTCAAAAGCAACAGAGTCAACGTGACCCAACTTTCAACGTCAAAGCTACCGAAACACCTCGCCCATGTTGCGACTACCCTGCGCTCCAAAGTCACGTAAAACGAAACATGCACTCAGCAGCCGAGTCCGTCACCCACGCGTCGCTTAAATGTCACCTTCCCCAACGAACCGTACACGCACACGTGGCCGGTACATGTAACGAGACGGCCGCATTACGTGTACGGTCATTACCTTGCCATTTGTCGCCATGACAGCTTTCATCCAACAGCTGAGGCCGGTTGGGGTTCGCCACTGTGGCCGCTCAGGGTTGGTCGTTGCGACGTACCCAGGAGCCAATGGCCTGAGTGTGTACCCGTTCGCGGAGCCACGTATCCTTGCGCGCCAAGTGTCCTTTCTCCCACTCTTTGCTGATGTAATACAGTATTTACATTTTTTGGCAAAAGCCGATGCGCCGTACGCCTCTCGCAATGGGCGAGGTTCTAAAGGTTTTTCTTTCCTCCCGCGTTTCCCAAAACAGGAGGAGCGATTGGCGGAGGTGGGGGAATTCTCGGCGCGCACGACAGAGCTGAAACAAGTGGTGAAGCGGAAACCGGCGGTTGGGTTTCCCGGTATAAGCGAGTACAGCGGAGTAATGAGCGGTACAACGCCTAATTACAACAATACAGTGGTAAGAAACGTGCTTTTAAGTATACAGTGCTGATTTTGGACGTGCATGAATTGAACACTAAATATGCTCCTTGTTACGTTTCAGGTCGTTGTGAGCCCTCCTGACGTTGCTCTGTGTGTGGGCAACGGATACATCCTTCACACTGTCAACGTTGGTAAGCCTCTCTTCCTTTTGAGGCGTCTCAGAGGTCCGTGCTTTTCCTCCTGACGTCGCTCCGTGTGTGGGCAACGGAAACATCCTTCACACTGTCAACGTTGGTAAGCGTTTCTTTCACCTGCTTCCTCTTGCATTCACTGCCGCGCTGCTCCATTCCTTTCGATCATTTTCACCCCCCACATCCCCTCCATCTTCCCCCACTCCCACTCCCTCTCCTCCCCTCCTACTCGCCCCCCCTGGCAGCGATGGTTGTGTATGACAAGCAAGGGAAGCAGCTCACTCACTTGCATCTCCCTCCCTATTCTCACTCGATTCCTTTTGACTGCTTTCTCCTCCCCCACCCATTCCCCTTACCCCCCCACCCTATGCGCCCCCATGGCAGCAATGGTTGTGTACGACAAGCAAGGGAAGCAGCTCACTCGCATCATCCCACACAACGAGGCAAGTGCTAAAGCAATCATGTTCGCTCGCATGCAAGACAACGTGAGTGCAGACATGTGCACCTCTGGCATGCTCCTAAATGCCATGCTCTTGTGTCCCCCCCCTCTCTCGTTCTCTCGTCTTCTGTCTCCCACTCTCACCATCGATTGTCAAATGCGGGCCCTCTTTTCAATCTTCCCTCCCACTCCCATCTCTCGCCCTCGCTCTGCCTCTCCTCCACAACCCTGCACCACACACTCCTCCACCCGCACCACACACTCCTCCACCCGCACCACACACTCCTCCACCCGCACCACACACTCCTCCACCCGCACCACACACTCCAACCCGCACCACACACTCCACCCGCACCACACACTCCACCCGCACACACACTCCACCCGCACCACACACTCCACCCGCACCACACACTCCACCCGCAGCAGCGGGTGGAGCGGGCGACAAGGGCCCCGATCACCCGCTGCCCCTCTCCTCCCTTGCTGTCACTTCGTCAGGGGTGCCGCCATCGATGGTACAGTAACAAACTTCTTCACACACCAACACAATCCCACCGTCCGCCCTCCCTCCCTCCACAATCATCCCACCAGATTTTCAAGGTCCTGCCATCAGTGGTGGAGAGGAGAGAGCCTCTCAACACATCAGTAATCAACTAATAAACTGACACCATCCTACCATCCCACCACCCACCCCTCCTTTCACGGCCCCCACGCCAGTTCTTCGGGGTTCTACCATCAGTGGTGGAGAGGAGACAGCCTCTCAACGCATCAGTATTCGGGGACAGCATCGGCGACATGACATGCACATATGACCGCCAGGCCAAGCGCTTCTACCTCTCCACCTACTGGACTGTGAGTGGGGTGGTGGTGATGCACTAGAGTGTGCGGTGCTGCTGGGTGCTGCTGGCTGCGGCTCGGTGCTGCTGGGTGCTGCTGGGTGCTGGATGAATCCAACGCATCAGTGTTCGGAGACATTGGCGACGTGAGATGCACATATGACCCCCGGGCCAGGCGTTTCTACCTCTCCACCTACTGGACTGTGAGTGGGTGGTGGTGATGCACTAGAGTGTGGGGTGCTGCTGGGGTGCTGCTGGCTGCCGGCTCGGTGCTGCTGGGTGCTGCTGGGTGCTGGATGAATCCAACGCATCAGTGTTCGGAGACATTGGCGACGTGAGATGCACATATGACCCCCGGGCCAGGCGTTTCTACCTCTCCACCTACTGGACTGTGAGTGGGGTGGTGGTGATGCACTAGAGTGTGGGGTGCTGCTTGGGTGCTGCTGGCTGCGGCTCGGTGCTGCTGGGTGCTGCTGGGTGCTGGATGATCCAACGCATCAGTGTTCGGAGACATTGGCGACGTGAGATGCACATATGACCCCCGGGCCAGGCGTTTCTACCTCTCCACCTACTGGACTGTGAGTGGGTGGTGGTGATGCACTAGAGTGTGCGGTGCTGCTGGGTGCTGCTGGCTGCGGCTCGGTGCTGCTGGGTGCTGCTGGGTGCTGGATGATATCCAACGCATCAGTGTTCGGAGACATTGGCGACATGAGATGCACATATGACCCCCGGGCCAGGCGTTTTCTACCTCTCCACCTACTAAACTGTGAGTCGTGGTGGGGGGTGCACTAGAGCGTGCGGTGCTGTGCGGTGCTGCTGGGTGCTGCTGGGTGCTGAATGAAGCCAGCACATCAGCGTTTAGCGACAGCATCGGCGACATGACATGCACGTATGACCGCCAGGCAAAGCGCTTCTACCTCTCCACCTTCTGGACTGTGGGTGTGGCATAGCCTTGGTCTTGAGCCATTCACCCAAGTATTGAGCGCTGATCCTGCCACGGCATTCCCACCTCCCTCATTTCCTCCCTAAGGTTGATTCCTCCCTCTCTTGTTTCCTCCCTCCTCGCGCCACTTTCCCAGTACGAACCTTTCCCCCCTCTTGGAGTATTGTACTCCCTCTCGTATTCCTCTCTCAAACGGTCCTTTGTGTTGATTCAGGGGGGATAAAAAACATGTAGGTTTAACAACAATCTCCTTTAACCCTCGTCATTCCTAGACCCCATTCTCTCCCTCTCGTTTTCCTCCTTCATTCTCTTCTGCTCGATTTCCTCAGCCATTCTCTTCCTTCTCATTGTCCTTCCTCTGATTACACTCTCAAACATCGCCCTCCCTCCATTCCCATCCCTCCCCACTCCCAGTCCGGGGGTGCCAACAACACGTATGACAAGTTTGGGCAGACGAGGAGGCGAGGCAACGTGACAGTGGCCTCAGGGCTGATAGTGGCAGCGACAACCACGGATGACCCCACAAAGGAGTGGAACCTCTTCTTCATCCCCGGCTCGTATGCTCGCCCCCTTTCGCTCACGCCATTTCTCATGTTTTTCCTGGTCCTGATTGCTCACGCTTTTACACCAATTGCCCTAGCTCCCCAATTCCCCTTGCCTCCCCTCCCAATTCCCCTTGCTCCCCAATTCCCCTTGCTCCCCAATTCCCCTTGCTCCCCAATTCCCCTTGCTCCCCAAATTCCCCTTGCTCCCCAATTCCCTTGCTCCCAAATCCCCTTGCTCCC